CGGGGCGCAAAGGGGGTGCTCGGGACCGCTGCGCCAAGCGGGCTCCAGCGCCTGCGCGTAGCCTTGCCGCCGAGGCACAGGACCGGGCGCACCGAAGGTTATCCAAGGCCCCAGACTCGCCAAATCCCACAGCGCAAATCGGAGCGGAGTCAGGCGAGAAACGGCACTGGAGAGAAGCCGCAGACACAACGGGCAAGTGCCCCTGTAGCGAGTGCTCTGCAAACTCATTTAGGCAGCTGAATTTGATAAGCAGGCAAGCAGTACACTTCAGAGACTGCAAGTATCTGCCATATGGTATCCAGCAAGCCTCAATTACTCAACATACCCAACTTAATCATAAGCTTCTAGCCCTTATCAAGAACAACAGACTAGAATACTTTGGAAATTCTAGGCCAAACCTTTCTTCTGAAGACTTTTTTAATCTTGAAGCCAAAAAATATTTGGTATGATTTCCAACAAGCTCTTCTATCCTTTCTCCCCTTTTCTTTTAGCATATCCATAAATTTTTTTGTTTCCTTTCTTCATAGTATTTCTGGGAAACTATTTTGGCAAAAGCTCATGCATTCAAAATTCCAAGGAGACTGGTTAGTTTTGACAGTAATCATGTTTGTGTTTAAACATATTAAAGGAATTAAAAGCTCAACATTTAGGACATTGAAAATTTTATATGTAATTACAGTTTAAATTATAATGCCTTGTCACATGGCGACAAAGTAGCGATGAGGACAGAGGGGTAGATCTGAAAAAAGAAAAGGAAACTGTCTTTACTTTGGCATTATGAACGCATAGGTTCTGCTATAAAAATTAGTTTGTTAGATGGTTTGAAGGTTATAGCTTATTAGGCTTAACCTGCCCTTTGCTTTAATAAGGTCAACAATCTAAGAAAGCATCTTGAATTAGATTTAGCATACTTCTTATCTGAAAGCGAGGCTGGGAAAGTGTTTAGCCGTCACATTTTGGGCCACCACTTGAGATGAAATTTGTTATATATCTCCACCAAGAACGTTATGCTTTCAAAAAAAAAAAAACCCACCCAAAATATTTTCATTAAATAAGCTTAAATCCAAATGAAAACATCTGGATTTAAGTTTCCTGAACTATTTTAACCAAAAGAATGGAAACTTTAAACAATAAATTATTAAGACAGTTTGCCTTCAGATTTAGTCATTTTTTTCACTTTACCCAAATATATTGCGAAGCATTTCATAATTCTACATTATTTGTTGATAGCATTAACTACTTTTAATACTCGTACAATTCCTAATGTTACCATCTACTTCCGTTATAACTGAGCAAGATAACAGTTATCAACTACATATATACTACAGCTGCTTTTTGTATGGTTGCTTGTATATTGAAGCCATACAAATCACATCAGGGATGGGGCAAAACTACCTTTTTCCTTCCCCTCCCAGAGGCAGAGGGGAAAGTGTGTTATAAAAGTAAAACTAAACATGTCCCTGAAATCTTGAGGGAGGGTTTTTTTTTTTTTTGGCCTATATTCAGTTTGCTGATTTTTGTTTATATTTCAAACTAAGTTTGATTGTACAGCTTTTAGGATATTAACTTCAGCAACTAGCCTCAAAAAGAAGCACCCTTCTTGTAAGCTATTGTAAAACACCACTTTGTATGAGGGGCTTCATGTATGTAGTTGTGTACTTCTCTCTACAAGGAAAAGAAAAGAATTACATTATTAGCTGCTGCGATTAGAACAAGTGATCACTCCACTTCTTTGCTGTTGCACTGGCTAGTTATTCTAATTCTTGGAGGGTGGTGGGCTGAGGAGATGAAGAGGAAGAGGCAGAGAAGTCAGTCACTGGTCAGTTTTTCCCTTTCCCAAAGCTCTGAAGTTATTGAAAAAGAAAGGTAGAAGAATTTGCTTTAATTTACTTTTCTGCCAGTGCATCATTCATTCTGAATTAGATAATAGCAATTAATTACAAGGATTACAATCAATAGCAATCAACATATATTTGCTTAATCCTTGTGAAATACACTTGAAGTCACCATAAAGAACGTTACTCTTAGCCTTTACGCACCACAAATGTTTCACAAGCAACAACTTCTTAAACCAGTAATTAAGAAGCTAAGAGACCATAAAAGGGAGTAGGTTTACAAAATATGTTTATTTCTTAACTTTACGTTATTCCTTTTTACATGTGTTACTAATTAAAGTGTTTTTAAGAATTTTTCAAAGTCCTGTATTGAGGCTTTAGCAATCTCTGTACAGAACACCTCATCAGGCAAGGATACTAGCTGGTCAAGAGAGATGTAGCTGGGTTGCGCTGGGTCATACTGGGCTCTTCCCAAGAATGTAAGAAACGAATGTCTCTCTTTGATTCGTAGAAGTTTTGAGTTGAAAACCTAAGAAAGAAAGAAAAGGGAGACGCTTTTAGGGGGTCTAAATTTCAGAATATGATGAATCTAAAATACAGCAATTTATAGACAACCTAAGTTTTAGCAAGAAAATAAATGATTTAGAACTTTTGCCCTCATTTAGGCCAAATATCAGAAAGAGGTTAGAATTTAAATCATATTATATTGAAACAAGAGAAATCAGGGAGTGATAAAACTGTTGAGCATGACAGCTTATAGGCTGATAGTTACACGCATTACTTTTGTGTAATCACAGCCAAG